TCTCTCAGCATCCTTCAGCTCAGGGTCCATCTTACCTCACTGCCCAGACATAAACTGTTCTTCTGACTTTCATGTCAAACGGAAATATGTTCTGTGCTGTACGAGTTGGTGTTATTGTCTTCTCTGATAAGCAGAAATCAAAAACTGTCAGTTATTTTCAGCTATTTACGGGTTGACATTAAGACCGGAGAGAACTGGCAGAAGCTTCTTTGTGATGCTGGGAGATTATAGTTGTGCTTTACTGGGGGAGGACGGAGAATTTCACACAAAAACACCAATTATGATGCAGTTTGTTCTGACAGGCAGCCATCACTGTGAGACACAACGTTCTGAGGTTACTGTATTTGTCAGCCTATAAGTCGCAGTTTTTTTGCATAATTTGCATGTCCTGCAACTTATACACCGAAGTGACGTATTTATGGATTTTCCATATTTATAAACCAACATTTGGCTGAGATGTGACCGTTCATTCATTCTGACTGAAAATATTGAACACTACCATTTTCAGCCACTTGATGGCACTCGAGAAGTTTGGGATGCTGTTGTGTCAAAATAGGTAAAAGTGGCTATTAATGACACAATCAGCTTGCCATAGACTGCCACCTTCGTCCAGCTCGCTTGGAGCAACCGTCGAAGCAGCTTCATTTCGCTGCGCCGCCCCGGTGAAATGCAGCTAATTTGACCATTGCAGTGCATTTATTAAGTAAAAGTTCAGCTGAGACGCACCTTTACTATGATGTTGAGCAAACAAATAAATGTTTGTAGGTGGATATCTTTGTTAAGTTTCAAAGAAATGTGCAGCAACTCGTCCCTCTGCACATGCCCGCTTCGGCGAATCGGGTTTTGCAAATTGATTTGACCATCAAAGTGCATTTATTAAGGAAAAGTTCAACTGAGACACAACTTTGCTATAATTTCACGCAAACAAGTAATTGTTTTTTAAATGTTAATCTTGTTAAAGTCCTCTCGTGCACGTCCTCCCGCGTCCGCCATTTGGCAGCCAATCGATTTTTGGCACACCGGCCCACATTTCCGGATTGTCAGTGGTGTCACGTAAAAGATGCGACTTATACAGCGAAGCAACTTATTTATGGATTTTTCCACTTTATTAGACATATTTGGACTGATGCGACTTATAGGGCGGTGCGACGTGCGCGGTGGAAAATACAGTATGACTGGAACATACACAAAAAATATTTATTGTGCGACAGATTTGCTCTGAAACCAACGTGGTTATTGAACTTAGCTCACCACATTTACAAGGTTTATTATTTTATTATTATTATTGCAAATATTAAAGCTCCACGATTCAGATGAGATTAATTATGCTTCTTTTTTACTTTAATCCATTTGGTTAAATAAATTGCAGCCTTCACGTGAGTGGCATAAAACTTCAGCCTTCAGCTGAATAACATTCAGAGTGAGACGATTATTTAGTTAAATCTTGTATTGGCATGAAAAATGAAAATAATTTGAACTTGGCTAATGGGTAGCTACCATCATCTCCCTCGTCTGTGAACGTGTCAGCTGAAAGGTGTGAACAAAAGAAACAAAACTGAAATCTTTTCTGTCGTCGGTTAGAGAGCCGAGTTCAGAAATCTGTGCTGCGTTCAGTGAACGTGCAGCTTTAAAGGAGGTGAAGAGACCGACTGATGGCGAGTGTCAAAATGATCCGTGTTACCTGGACTTCAGAGTCACGGTACAACAGAGAGGATCAACTGGACCTCTGCTGGAGTCGGAAGGTCTGCCCAGAAGCAACATGAGCAGACAGAGGATGGAGGGAAATAAAAACGTTGTTTAGATGTTAGGAAGAAGGAAATCCAGACTGCAGGACTGTCCAAACCACGTTCTTCTGTTTTCTGTTTGGCTGATGTTTGAAATAAATTTACCAACTTTGTTTTATTCAAATATCAAGTTAAGAAAACACCACGACTTCCTGAAGAAGTCCTAAAAATGAGGGTGTGTTATCTTGTACAGTGGCTGTTCAATTCTGTACAGAATTGTTTGCATTTTTTCTAAATTTGTTAGATTTAAAGTATCTGTTTCCACCAAATGGCACAATCAGGGACCACTGTATCGACCTTTCCTCTCTAGCTCCGTTCGAGAAACAAGTTGTCACTAACGTGGGAGTGATAATGGACCCTCCCATGAAACTAACAATCTAAACACGACTGTTAAATCCTGTTTTCAGTTTAGGCGAATGTCTAAATTGAAGCCCATACTGACCAAAAGTAATCATGAGACAGTAATACATGCTTTCATAACATCCAGGCTCGATTACTGCAAGGCTCTTATTTTTTTAAATCAGTCAGATTTCTATTGTACGTTTACAACTGGCTGATTTTTAACTGGTACAGGCAAAAGTGAGCACTTCACACCAGTTCTGGCCTCCCCGCACTGGCTCCTCGTTCACTTTCTAATGCATTGAAAAATGCTTCTGTATGTTTTTAAATCTCTGAACAGCTCTACCCCCTCTTATCTCGCTGATCTGCTGCAGCCATATGTCCCACAGCGCTCTCTGAGGCCAGCAGACCAGAGGCTTTTACTGGTTCCAGACACTTGTTTTAAGCTCAGAGGTGACAGAACCTTCTCTGCTGCAGGACCAAAACTGTGGAACAAGTTACCACTGCACGTCAGGCAGGCTCCGTCTCTCACTGTTTTTAAAATCTCGTTTTTATTCCGGGGCTTTTGACACTGTGTGAGTTGATTTTAACGTCTGTATTCTATAATGTTAGCCATTTAGATCTTATCTTTACATATTTAAATATTTGTATTTTATCATGTGTGTTTTGCTTGTCTTGTTTTTGCTGTACAGCACTTTAGATGGCCTGTTGCTGCTTTTAAGTTCTTTCTAAATAAAGTGGTATGGTATGGTGGTATCTTCATAAAAACATGTATATGTAATCAAGTTTTTAAAAAAAAAGTATTGCTTATTTTCTCGTGTTTATATTTTCATTACAAACAGACAGACTTCTAAAAACTACTCTAAAAAAAGTGTTTTTGTTGGACTTTGGCTTCTTTTTTTAAAATTAATTTTTAGTCTGTCTACCTGTCTGTGTGCAAACAAATGTTTGTTTGTTTGTTTGTTTGTTGAAGCCACTTATTTCTGATCTATGATCATTGAAGCATAAAACGTTTTCCAAACTAAAGAAATGAACCAGCGTTGTCGACACATCAAACCAGTATCTCTGCGGCTCTTTGTGACAAAATGTCTCGAAAATGTCTCCAAACATTTGCAAGGATTCTCAATTTCCTCGTGTGAGTCGAAACACATCTCAGACTCCAAACTGTGACTGATTAAAGACAAAAAAAGTTTAGTTTTTTTTTTTTAACCTAACTGAGACATATTTAAGATGCTTTACAATCTGCACGATAGACACAGGAATCCCACAGAAATAAATTATTAAATGTTACATATGTTTGTAAACGTGGGTTTAAGTACCAATTTTAAGCGATTCCAACTGAAAATAATTTGCAATTTTGTGTTTCCAACTAGATGTACAAGCCTAAGAGAAAACTCAACAAAGCATTCATTTTAAATCCTATTTTTAGGTTCTTTGGTATCGGCAGCCCGTTTATGATTTAAATAATTTTAGCCCCGTTTTGTGTGTCTGTGTATGTGTGTTTAAGTAAATTGGAAAAGTGGAAGATATCAGAAGCCGTGGGTTTTAACTAAAAAACTAACAACTGATGAGTGAAAACCAAACGGAGTTCCTTGAAAATGAATCCCTGTGTGCAAATCTTTTATCAAACAACTTATTGAGAATCAAACTGTTTTTGTAAGAACTCTATTGAATGTCTATTGAGTGACCTGAAAAAGGAACAAACAACTTTTAGGACAGCCTGCTTGTAATAAAAAGCCTGAAGATTTTACTTAAAGCTGGTTCTTTAGATAATCTGTTGTTTAAGGTTCAATTTAAAGATCGACACGTGTGAATTTCTGTTATTGCTCGTACACAAGAAGCAACATTTGATCCAGACACGGATTGTTTAGCAGGCTGTGGTTTTAAAGATCAAATTTATTATTTATGGTTTATTTGATATTTTTTGTTTGTTTTGTTTCCTTTATGCTCTGATTGTGTGAATGTTTATAAAGCGTTCGTTGAGATCTGCTTTTCAGCTTCTAACTTGTTCCACATTTTTTGTGCAACTTCAACTATTCGTGTATCGCAGCGTTCAGCTCGTTCAGGACATTCCTGCTGTGACTCTCTGTATTGCTAGTTTTTTATTGAAATGTTAAGCTGTTTCCGGCCGTGATTTTGTCCTTTAAAGCGAATCACAGCTTTCAAACCGTTTGTGCTCTTTTACGTTTTACTGCTGATTTTAACTTTTTGTCTTAGTGCAGCTTATTTCTGATGATTTCAGTTTTTTCCAGCTTTTTGCAGCTGCTTTTTGTCAGGGGAATTTTGGTCAAGGATGTTTATCACTAACATGTTAAATTAATGTTGAACCATGTGTCGAGGTCATCGTGGACTGTTTGTGTACTGTGAAAGCTGATAAGTGTATTATAGAAACTATTCTCACACACTGTTCGGTGCAGTTTCTCGCGTCTGGGCTCCAAGCATGTGACTTTGTACATCTGCGTCAGCCTGTTGTGACCGTCTGTCCTTGCAAGTAAAACTCTGTTAAATAATCTTCTCCTGTCGTCGTGTAGCTTCTTTTAGTAATTAAGATGAATAGAAGATATTTTTATCCAACATTTTGGTCCTTCGAGCCGGATGAGTTTACTGTTGAACAGCTTGTTCACCTTTTAGTTAAATATTTTAGCTAATTTCAGCTTTCTTGTTCATTTTTTAGCTTCTTTCTGCTAAAATCAGCCTTTTCCTGCTAATTTAGTTGTTTTTCTATTTTTGCTAATCTCTGCCTTTTGTGCTTCTGTCTAATAATTGCAATATTTTATGCTCCTTCCAGCTTTATGTGTACTTCGTTTATTTTCCTTGTTTTAGTAAATGTCATCGGATTCCTCAGTAACTTATTTTTGTCCTCCTTCCTTCCTCCAGGCACACTCGCCATCCTGATACCGGAGTTGGACCTGGTCATCTCGTTGGTGGGCTCGGTCAGCAGCAGCTTCCTGGCTCTCATCTTCCCACCCATCCTGCAGCTCTTGGCTTTTCACACGGAGGGCCTGTCTCCACTGGTCTTTGTTAAGAACACCATCATCAGCGTGGTGGGGTTCATCGGGTTCTTGGCTGGAACTTACATCGCCATCGTGGAAATCATCGCCCGGAACGCCATCAAACACGAAGAGGCGATCACCTCCATCATGGTTCTGTGACGCAGACTGTTGGACTATTTAAAGGACAGCTTTATTTCTACACTTTTTGTATTTAGCCACTGTACGACGTAAGTTTTATTGTAATTGTGTCACATTTAGATCCAGCCAGTTAGTGCAACCTAAACGTAAAAATTATAATTCCTTCATGTTGGAGATTATATCAGCATATTTAAAGAGATTAGAGAAGATTTAGGATGACTGTGTCTTACGTCCAGACCGAATCTGTTCATGTAGTAAATGATTCAGTCAGAAGATCAAACTACCTCAGTAACGAGTGTCGATGAGACGTTTTGTGGATGTTTGACCTTCATCCTGAACATGGTCACATTTTAAACGCTTTCACCAGCTGCTCGTCAGTTTATAAAGAAGTGAAAAAAGACAAAAATATATGTTGCACTTTGATTTATGCCTTATCCAGTGGAATTGTGCACTACTTTGATAGTTTCAAGACATTTTACAATTAAAACTGAAATGAGAAAATACTGTTGGACTTGCTGTTTAATTTAAATAATGACTCTAATTTAAATAATAACCCTCTCTTTTTCAAATGTGCTTATTAACTCTGTTTGCACTGGTTCTCCATACTTCAGTTTAACGAGTCAATGTAGAGATTTATTTGATTTATTTATCACAGTTATATATCTAATTTATTTTGGGATTGAACTGATCTTGGTCCAGGATTTTAAATTTTAAATTTTAGGCTGAAAACAAACATCAGCTTTACATTTTTAGATGTATTTGTTTCCAGATTAGTGAGGTTTGAGTCACCTGTGTGTAAATGATCAGACTGATGTTTAAAGTAGAGCCCGGCCGATATATCGGTAGTGCTGATATTTCTTGCTGATATAGGTCTTTGGGGACATATCGGTATCTGTGATAATTGTCCCATTATGCTCCGATATAAACTCTGGGAACGAGCCGTGCCCTTAAGTGCAAAAAGCGTAATTGTACAATGTATCCAGCAGAGGGCGCATGCGGACTACTTGCAAGTCATGGCTGTTCACTTTAAGTTTCACTCTCAGCGCAGCCAAAGCAGGGGACAACTAAATACAGTGTAGCCTATTTAGCTGAACAGAGCATGGTACGTTTATAACGTTTTGCAAAATTTACAAAAATCAAGAATTAATTATCTTCAATTCTCCAACCATGTCATTAGCTACATGCCTCTCAAGTTAGCAAGATAACTTAGCATAAGCTATTGCCTTGTAAACCTCTATCCAGAACAATAAATCTAACATAGAAGTAAATATATATCAGTGTTGGTAACGTTATCTTTGTCGTCCTCAATGAAATGCATTGTTTGTCTGAAATCTTAACTCCTCTGGAGAAAAAAAGCTGCTGTGGTCGATACTGATTAGACCTTCACTATACGTGACTGACTGTTAATGAACAGGGAAGGGCGTTTTTGTTTAATTTATATTTTTGTAACACACTTGATAACTTTATTTTGAATAGTGGAGGATAGAAAATGTGAGCACACATTAGGGAGACTGTTTCAAGACTTTAAGTGTTAAAACAGGTTTAAAAGTAGCTGTTTAGTTAAGATTCATGGGGGTGGAAAAAGCTAAAAAAAAAAAAAATTCAGCCAACATATTGGCTTTAGCTCCTCCCAGTATCGGTATCGGCGCTAGCCAAAATTTCCATATGGTCGGGCTCTAGTTTAAAGACGCATAAAGTAAGATTTTTAGGAAAGGGGATTGTTTCAGATAAGAGTGAACATTTCAGGTTTAGCATTTTAATAAATGTTTCCACCTGAACTCGGATTCAGACGATCATGTTCCTTCAGTTCAAACTGATCAGCAGCACCTTTACTTTGATCCCGTTTTTAGTTTGTATAACAAACCTGTGTTTGTCCTGATGCGACGGTGTATCAGAGCCATTCAGAAGAATTACTTTTTCTTTGCTTGGTTTCCCAGTTTCAGCATTAAAATAGCTTTAAGATTAAAATTGAATATTTAATGTTAAAACTGGAAATCCTAAACGATCTTTAATTAAATGTTCTTCCGAGTGGCCCTAATGTACCAACATCCTTAACTTTAATCCCTTTTAGCTTTCAAATATAAAAAGCAAACTAAAATCAGAAAATACAGTATTTGTCTCCATCATGATTAAAATTGTTTCTAAGGAACAAAAATAAAGATCTGATCTTAAAGAGTTAAAAAAAAAAAAAGAAAAAACATAAAATCTAATTAAGATTAACCATTTCAAACTCCATAAATCTGACTGTACTTTACTTGGGAACTCTTGTGTGTCCCTAAAGAGTTTATGTTTTAATATTCTGTTTTAATTATGCATTTTTATGGAATTTATGATGTATATTTTTTTTCTTATTTTATTAAAGTAGCCTGTATTTAAACTTGTAACCCTCCAACTACATTTAGTTTTAGTTCATAGACGCTCGGCGTTGAACATAATGTAACATATTTGTAAAACCATACAAGATTTAGATGTTTCATAAACGATAAACGACATCCGTCAGCAGTGTTTAACGGATACATTTTAACATTTAGTGTTGTTCTTCAGTGTTCATGTAGCAGGAGCCACCAGAGGAATCTAGATTTTTATTTTTAACAGCAATAGCAGTGGAGGTTAAAGAAATAAACTTGTGTGCGCCTTATGTGTATAAAGCATTAAAAGCTGTTTTTATGTATGAATCCATGTGTTGCACATGTAAAGAAGAGTATTTTCAAAATAAAATAAACCATTCTTTTTCTTTTTACACTTTTTTGTGCTAAAAATGAGAAGTGCTTTACATTATGGTTGTTTTTGGACAGGTTTGTGGTTGAGCTTAACATAAAATTACATTTATTATTAGCATAATTAAAGTGGAGCATCTTCCTGATGAGCTGCAGATTCAGACAGTTTTTTTTTTAAACGTTTTATCTGCTGAAGCTCTTCGTCATGTCATTCCTTTTCTCAGAATAAATAACTGAAACACCAAGTTGTTCTCTGTACTTCTTGTTTGTTTGTCCAAGTTTTTTTTATTGATAAGTCTTTGGATGTTTCAGGAAGAGCCAGTCAAACGTTTTTTAGTGTTTTCCGTGCAGTTTCTTCCTGAATCCAGCTGACACGGGGAGCAAGTTGTTTTTCTTTGTTTACTGTAAATGTCACAATAATTCACATCCTGGGAAGAAAAAATAAGAAATGAAACAAAATCTAGATTTTAGGACTCAAAGATCAAAATCTGCTGTTCAGTTTTGGGGATAAAATACAAAAATATGTTTGTTTTTTTAACTAAATAGTGATTTAGCTCCTTTTCACACATTTGTTTCAAAATATAACCTTAAGCAAACTAATAGAATCTTTACTGCCAATATATTTGCACAAATGAAAGGGAAAGTTGGATTTTTTTCCAGTTGCACTTATGAACAGTCATCGTCTTACCTGCAGCAGACTGATGTTGGGGGAGAATTCAGTTTGAAGTCAAACTAATGGTTCGTGAACTGTTCAAGAGTTAATTTCCACTCTTGTTTTGCAGTTTGCACGGAACACTATTACATTTACACTTAACGACTGGTGCACGAGATGATTGTTGATTTTCATGTTACCTTTTCAGCAGAACGTCTATGTCGCCTCATGCATTTATTACCGCTAGCTTCAAATATTCTCTGTCATCCAGATGTTTAAAAAAAAAAATCAAAAAAGTTTTCAGTTATCCTAAAAGATGCTTCCAGAGATTAGATGAGATTAGCCACATCTAGATAATGTCTCTAGCTCAGTTAATTTTACAGATATTGACCTAAAGTTTGGTGTGGTAGTAGCTGAGACTGAGATCCAACACAGATTCTGAGCATGGACCGATGGCACACGGTCTTCATTCATAATGTCCTTTCTCTGCTCTCGCTCAATGTGGACACCTTTTCCTCTCCCTCCCCCCGTTCTCCTCTTCCTCCTGTTTTTTTGCTCTCCGTGTGCGTCTCGGAGCTCCTGGTACACATCTTCAGAACGAAAAAATACTATTATGGATCTGGTGAGCTGGACTTTCAACGCAATCGACAAAATCTTTTCAACAAAACGACAGGGTCCTTAAGAGCCCCCATGTCCTGCAGAGACTCACGCTGCAGGGTACATCAGGGATCCGTGGGGAGTTTGACAGCTGATGTGTCTTTCAGTTCTGTCTCAGGAGGACTCAGAAGACATTTGTATAATTGGATTCATGATAGCAGGGTTTCTGCATTTTGGCATCGGCGAGTCCCTATGTTATCGACTTCTGAAGAAGACCTCGACAGCAGACAAATCTGCCATGTCTATGTGAAGGTTTTGTTTGTGCTGCGAGTACACAAAATCAGCTGATTAACGAGCTAAACTGTGAGTTGGAAACGATTTGTGAGAATCACAGGTCACCTGCGGCTTCTAGGACTCGCCAGCATGTTAGGAGTCGACCTTGAAGAACGCTCATAGCACGGATCAGTGGAATGCCAATAAATCTGGCCGTGTTGGATCTGGAAAGTTCCAGCAGGACTCTAGGCTGACGTGAAAAAACAGTCTGCCTGAAGAAAATCAGCAATTGTGGCTTATCTAAATCTGACTCCCCCGTTTGAACTCAGATACCGGCCGACTATCAAATTTCTCATGGGACATAGGTAAACTAAGGAAAAGCTTCATCTATCGCACACCCCAGAACTATGCAGGCTTATCAGAACTGCCGGCTGAACAACAACATCATCAGGACTATGGTCTATCTGGAAGTGCTTCATGGACAAAGCTCAATGTCTTGATGTCAAATGAATATGTAATGTGTTTTTAAATGTGCTGCTGGCAGAGATTTTTTAATGTTTCAAATCGTGCCCTGATAGGACAAGATGTGAAGAGATCTTTTTTTGTAATCCCACTAACCATCCTCATGGACTTTTACCTTTTTCTATCTAAAAAAAGTATTCTGATAAAGAATAAGAGGCCGCGCTCTTGTAGCAGCAGCAACGTGCACTCTGCTCATCTTCCGGACGACTGTACGAACATAATCTCACTGTCTCCCGGTACCATGAGAATAAAGCTTATTCAGATTCTGATTAACGATGTAGACACAACTCTTTGTTAGCAAAACATCTCATGATCCACTGGATGCATTTTAATGAAACTCTCAGAAAGAAATAATTGGATTTACGTCTAAACAACCCTTTTCAAGATGGCCGCTACAGCCTGTGAATCTTAGCCAGCACATGAGTGAACAGGGCTGAAACTTGATGCGCTGCAAGCTGAGTCATTCTCAACGTGCTCCGACTGGGACGATGTCGTGTGAAATCACGCAGAACGTTACTTTCAAGAACGGCAACACCAAGATCTTCATCTAAAACTACTCTGGCACGAAAGGCAGCGGGCGATATGCATTCTGTCGTTTATCACAACTATGAAGCTCTTTTTTGATTTTAATACTAATTGACGAGAATACAAATTCAAAATAAATACAACAA